TCCCGCTTTCCGGCGCCGCCGTTTTGATTCCGGAGCAGCGGGGCCGGGGCCGGGGCCGGGCCGGGCCGGGCCGCAGCATGTGAGCCCCGCGGGCCGGGGATGCTCTTCCTGCTCTGCGGCCTGGAGATGGAGAGCCCCGCGCTCGTCATCCGCATCCGCATCCCCGACGGCGGCGCCGTGGACTGGACCGTGCCCTCCGCGCCGCAGCTGCTCTTCAGGGACGTGCTGGTGAGCCACCGCGGGGGGCACCGCGTGACGCTCCGCGCGCTGGTGACGCCACAATCCTTGTCACGCCGCAGCGTGACGCCTCCAGGAATCGCGGCGCCGCCGCAGGTCGTTGCGACGCTGCCAGTGCGAGTATGTGCAAGAGTGCTGCGCATTACTGTGACGCTGCAACGGGTGGTGACACCGCAAGCCATTATCACGCTGCAGCGTTACGCTTCGAATTCTTGCCGCGCTGCAACTTATCCTGACGCTGCCAAGTGCCGCGCTGCTGCAGTGTTACGCTTCACACGAGTGCGACGCCGCGCGTTATCGCGACGCCGCAAATCGTTCTTATGCTGCAAAGCATTGTGACGCCGCACATTATTGTGACACCACAGTGTGACGCCGCAGTGTGATGCTGCACTTTATTGTGACGCTGCAGCGTGACACTGCACATTATTGTGACGCCGCAGTGTGACGCCGCACTTTATTGTGACGCCGCAGTGTGACGCCGCACTTTATTGTGACGCCGCAGTGTGACGCCGCACTTTATTGTGATGCCGCAGCGTGACGCCGCACATTATTGTGACGCCGCAGTGTGATGCTGCACTTTATTGTGACGCTGCAGCGTGACACTGCACATTATTGTGACGCCGCAGTGTGACGCCGCACTTTATTGTGACGCCGCAGTGTGACGCCGCACTTTATTGTGATGCCGCAGCGTGACGCCGCACATTATTGTGACACCGCAGTGTGACACCGCACTTTATTGTGACGCTACACTTTATTGTGACGCTGCAGCGTGACACCACACTTTGTTGTGACGCCGCACTTTGTTGTGACGCCGCAAATTACTGTTACACTGCGGTGGTACATGTCAAATTATTGGGATGCTGCAAATCGTTCTTATGCTGCAAAGTATTGTGACGTTGCAGCGGTACGCTTCAAATGATTGTGACGCTGCAAGTTATTGCGATGTCGCAAATCGTTCTTATGCTGCAAATTATTGTGACACTGCAGCGTTACGCTGCAAGTTATCATGACGCTGCAAATTACTGTGATGTTGCAGTGTTACGCTTCACATGATTGTGACGCTGCAAATCTTTCTTATGCTGCAAATTATTCTGATGCTGCCGGGCATTAACGGCTGCTGGGAACCACTTGTTTGCATACAGAGGGGCTTGAAGTTGTGGCCAAACAATGCTGCTGAAAGGAATCCCTGCTTTTTCCCCCAAAAGCGCTAGGGCTCTGCTCCCTGATGCATGCACTGGTCCCTGCCGTATTGGAAGTGCGGGGCTGTGTGGTTCAGGAGATGTTGTGTCGCCTGTGGGTAGGCAGATGCCGTCAGGCTGCGTGCACTGCGACTTTGTGGAGCTTCATCAGTGTGTGAGGATGGCGTGAAAGGGGCTGAGGCTGGGTCCCGAGGAGGTTGTCGTGTGTAGTGTGTGCGCTGCCTTAGCTCAGGGTATAACCCCCGGGCTGCCCCTAGCCCAGCTCCTAAGTGTGCGCACACACATGTCCAGCCTGAGCACTGGGAGCGAGGCAGCCCGTGAGGCAGGTCCAGCACGGGGGGACACAAAAACGGGCACTGTCCAAATTCCCACCGCAGGGTATTTGTGGCTGACGCAGTAGAAATGCTGCTGCTTTGCAGTCAGCCCGTGCCTTGCTTCCAGCTCTCCACACTTTGAGCTCTTCTGTTCCGTTCGATCGGTCAGACAGCGCCCGACCGCGGCATCCTGGCCTGGCGATGATGGGGAATGGCTTGTTTGGTTAGGTTGTGATGCCAGCAGGGCCTAGTGGTTTCAGATCTGAGACCCGCCGGCGAATGACGGCAGAAGCGCTGTGAGAAGATCAGAGCCAAGAGGGGCAGGAACATGAGGCCAAGGGCCAGAGCGCTGGATCCTTTGTGAGGAGTACAGTCCAATTGCCAGCTGTCTCGGGAGCCTGGGCATCATCCTACGCAGCTCAAGGGTTTCTGGGGTGTCCAGTGTCCAGCAATGGAGGACCCTGAAGAGCACCAGGAGTCATCAACATGCGCTGTGGTCTGCAATGTGGAGGTGGCACTCTGCACCGCGGGGATGAAATCACCCCAGGCGTCCAGGGAGAAAGCCGCAGAGGAGCCCTCCCACCCAGCCAGGTAAGGGCTCTATTCCTGTTGTGTTTAGGGCCTGCCAGACAAACCAGAGCCCGGGGGCTGTTGTGTGCCAGAGGGCAGGCAGAAACCACGTCTGCCTTCATTTGCAGATGCAGGATCCTGCCTTCTCCCTCCATATCTGGCCATGGCATGCATGTTACTCCCAGCTGTCATTTGGGAAACCCTTGCTTTCCTTGAACAAAACAGTGCACAAACAAATGGCAGGAATTATGTACTGAAAGACCGGTGTTAATTCCCACTTCCCCTCTCTTGAGGTGATGTTGAGACAACCAGGAGCATCTCCCTGCAGGCAGTTCACTTTGACCTTTTCTTTACTCCTTTTATCTGAAGCGGTTTAGGAGAACTTACGTGACGCAGACTTTCCAAGCATACCTCCGTGTTTCTGGCCGGTCATGCTTCCCTCTCCCTGCAGCATGCATGACCGTTGCCTGGCAGGTGCTGACTTGCTCCTCGGTCAGCAGGGGATGAAATGCAGCCGGCGCAGGCGCTGTCGGGCTCCCACAGAGGCCTGGGACAGCTGAGTCCTCTTCCCATCAGAAATTTGAAGCTGGCCCGTCTCCTGCAGCGCGGTGTCAGCCTGAGAAACTGTGGAGGAGCACCATGAAAGCAAAATGAGGGGCCACGTGGGTGCCTTCCTGCAACAAAACAGTTGCCCTCTGTACTGCTTTAGAAAAGCTGCGCTCTGATCCAGCACAGCAACTTCATCATTTCAGGCTTTGGGGTCCAGCAGGAGAGCGCTTCCAGGAAATGAAGCCCTTGAGAGAAAACCTTCAATTTAAAGCCTGGTGCGATGTGGGCAGTTCAAGGGGAGACGCTTCATATTTAGGGGGTTTTTTCAGCCTTGACAGAACAACTGATCCACTGTTTCTTTCATTTAAGGGACATCTCAGCAAATGCATCTGAGTCTCCCACCCAGGCATCATCCATCCCAGGGTTCAGGGTTCATCTAGTTGGAAGAAGAGGATGCAGGAGGATCTGCTGATGGGGATACACCGGGACTTCAGCCCCCTCCTGGTACTCAAGCATGAGAGTTAGGAGCCGGACGTCTGGTCCTAGGCCGCTGCAGTGATCAGGGAGTGAGAGGAGCACAATGTCGGTGGCTCTTCATTAAAGCCTCTGCTAAGCTAGTTTCGACCTGGCTCCTGCTGGCCCAACGCCATTGCCGTCTGCTCCTGGCTGTCACCGTGCTCTTTGCTCACACAGCCATGGCTCATGGAGCAAAGGCTTTAATGGAGAGCCACTGACAGCGGTCATCTGGCTTTTCCCATCTACCACATCACGCTGCCCAGGGTCTCGGGTTAGCCGGGGTGCTAAGGAGGTGGCCGTGGTCTGGTTACCCTTACTGCTTCCCTCTCCGGCATGGCTGATGGCGTGTGGAGAAGTTCCCTGATCAGGACCACTTGCTTTTCATCCAACCTGCCAGAGCTCCCTGTGTGCATGTCCAGACCTACCTGGGATGGCAGAGTTTCACTTCTGTTCACTAGTTGAAGCTGTGTGGTTCGAAATGCAGAACACGATCCCTATAGCTAGGGCAAAGGGGTGCTGCCTCTCCACAGCCGCCATGCATTGCCCATGGCGCTCTCGTCTCGCCTGGAAGCAGTTGCAGCACCAGCTCTTCCTGCAGTTCAGTGCTCGATAGATGTGAGCTGTGATCGAGCAGAAGCGTTCCAGTTCACTGCAACGTGAGGGTGAACCAGCTTGGGCAGCAGAAGTGGTTGCCTTTGATCATCGCCTTGATCAGACCTACTGCAAGGTTTTGGATCTCAGCATCCTCTGTTGTATTAAGTAGTCTGGCAGCCATGACAAGTGCTGTGCGCTTAACCATTGCTTTGGACACTGGATTGCTTCTAGTCGCAACCCCAGAAGGGAGACTGATTTGCCCTGTTCAGCTGGGACCCAGCGGGTGTGCTTTCAAGGTTTGGTGCTCACCATTGCCACGTTGCAGTCCTCTGGTGTATCCACTTCTGAAGTGTGACCTGTTCAGAGCAGGAGCAAAAAGCATTAATAAATTCTTAACTATGTCAAATACCCTGGTCTGTCTGGGTGTGTTTAATGAGCAAGCCGGGTCAGTACGTTCCTTTTTATGTGGTTATCGCTGCCCCAGCAATTAACAAATGACTGAAGCCTCTTCTAGCTGCAAGAGCACAGTAGACCCAGCTGGCGACATTACTGCAGCAAGGGGATGGGTGACGAAGCCTGGATTGGGACAGCGTCCTTGTGAAGTAGCAGTGATCTTCACCCGGACCATGGACAGGGTGAAGGGTAAACAGCAGAGGAGATGCACTTTGGTTGGAGGATGTCATTTTCCCCCAGGGTGGGTTTGATTTAAATCACTGGTCAGGAAGTCTCCATTTAATCATTGTTTTCTACAAAAAGTGCGTTCTTCTTGTTTGATATCCGTTATTCGTTTAACTTCTTGGAAATTTGCACTTTTAGAGAGAGGTAAGGGCTTGGCTGTGTGTACACAAACGGGCAGAGACAAGAGAGCTGATGGGTGGGTAATCGGGTCTGCTCTTGCTCACCTCCATATCCTGCTGTTAACAAGGATGTGATCTCTGGAGACGACAAAATCTCCCTCTGCCCGAAGAAGGGCATTTTTGCCTGAAAGCTCGCAAAGAACAATTTTTCCACCTACTTAGTTGGTCTAAGAAAAGAGATCACATCTACCCAAAGAGCCTTGTCTGCCTGTGATCTCTGGAGACACAAATCCATGGTTTGAGAACTGAAACTCAGCATGACAGAGATGCTTAATGGGATTTTCTAGAGGGAGCACCGAGTCCCATTGGGTAGAGCGGTTTTCTTTCATCTTTACTAATCCTTAGAGGAGCCTCTGGGAACCCCAGGAGATCGGGCTCCTAACCTAGTCTATGGCCTGTTGTGACCTATTTATAAAACTTTTCTAAAAAAGGTTACATGAATATATTGCCTCAAATAGTATATAACTAGAAGTTATAATCCCTATCCCATGATGATATCTGTGAGGTCCAACATATCTTAAATTAAAGCTGTCTTTATATAGGTTTTTTTAATAAAAGCATCTTAGCAGAAAATTTGATTAAATAAAATCTAATATAAATAAAAACATCCCATGTTTTAATATATATTTATTTAAATTGTTGATTTTTTGCTACCCTGCTTTCCCCTTCTTCCCCGTGTCCCTTCTGGTCCAGGATGTAGGAATATGATGCATTTCTCTCTCTCTCTCTGCACCTGTCACCATCTGGAGCAGATTTGGGTTGCCCATAGCATGGCCATGAATCAAATCAGCACAACTGTTTGGCCCCAAATATCCTTCCCTCCCCCCTTCCTCCCCTTGGGTTTGCGGAGTGCAACCTGCTCCAGTGACCCAGATAGGGACATACGTACTGCAAATGTGTGTAGGCAGCACCGTCGTATCCCAGCTTGTCCAGAAGCCTGAACCTTTGAGGATGTAGTTAGAAACAGGAGAGCACCAAGGGATGTTCCCTTTGCTTTGCCTGAGTTGCTGCAGCCTCAGGGAAACTGCGGTCGCTTGAGGAAAGCTGAGTTATCCTTGTGGGCATCCCTGACTACGCTTGAGCTGGGGTAATAGAGGTGAGGGTGTACCTCGAGTGTGCACCCTCAACACAAGGGAGCTGTCGAGACGCACCTCTAGGCGTGGCACACATGGAAACGCCATCAGGCTGGTGAGCACTGGGTGCTGTGGGAGCTTTTAATTTTTTTAAAAGGGGGTGATTTTTTTTTGACAAGTTAACATCTTGGGGACCTAAAGCATTTTGCAAACATATGGGAATCGAGCCTTGCTGTATTGCAGCAGGTAGGCAAGAGCACAGCCACACCTTGTTGCACGGGGAGGGAAACTGAGGCACAAAACTGCCCAATGTCTGGCCCAAGGGCATATAGTGACCCACCGGGGGTAGTGGAGTTATGGTCCGGGAGTTGTAACATGCAGTACACCGCTCTGCACACACAGATACATCCCCATTAGGTTTCATATTCAATTGCTCAAATCCTAGCTGAGGGTTTCCTCTGGGCAGAGCTCTGATAATTAACCAAGTGGCATGTAGCAGATCCGCAGGGTTAAGAGGTTACCTAAACCGTGCTTGTCCCTTAGATGTGGGACTGTGCACGTGTGTAAAATGGGGCATGTACGCAAGGTCGTGGGTTGCATTCTTGCAAAGGTGAGGGTTTGCAACGCAGCCGGGGGACTGCAGTGCCAGTCTGCTCCCGTCATCGCTGCAGCTTTGACACCAAACGGCTCCACTTCTCCAGTCAGCTACATGAGCCTGCCGATGTGCTCCAGGACAGAGAAGTGACGCTTGTCCTTCGTTCACCAACCTGCTGTGAATAAAGAGGGCTGTGAACTGCCCCGATAACTGGGAAGAGTTGGGGTCTCCGTGCCGATCATTGGACGTTTCCTCTGTATATCCAGCTCCAGGCTTTGAGGTTATCAATGACCGGATCTGTTTTAAGGATCTTTCATCGGGTTGCCATGACTGGCTGATTTGTCTGTCTTTGTTCATCTGGATCGTACCCTTTGCCCCAGGGCTTGAGCGCCTGGAGGGCTGGTAGAAAAGGGCCTAAGGCTCCTTTGGCGCTGATGTGAATTCCTGCACGGAGCTGCACCTGTCGGCAAGGAGAGTGAGTCCTGGCAGCGGCAGCAATACTTGCACTGTGGTTAAAAAGGCATGGTTTTAAAGTTTCAGCTTCCTTGTCACCAAGATACAAATGGTTTTACCATCTGACTGCAGATCAGCTTTGATAGATTTCCTTTTTCATCTACCATTACCTGCATCTTTCCTCTCTCTCCACTGTTAATGGCCCTCTGTTTTGTTAGATAACGCATTAGTTATTCTTGGTCATCGATCTCTTGTTGTCTGCACGAGTTGCAGGAGTTTATGGTTTGTGACCTCTGCCGGGTGTCTGTGCGAACATCACCGACGATGAGAGCCTGCTGGAAGTTCGGCTGGCATTACGAGTCTGTGTTAGTGAAGGGTCCCCCAGGTGTCCACGTACATTGGTGCTTCCGCACAGCAGGTGAAAAGACATTTTGGACACCAGATTGGTTTCGTGATTAGATCTTCAAAAATGTTGGTGTTTTCGTTTGGTCCGATTCAGCAACAAGATCGGGTGCTGGACGGAGCCGAATCGGTTCCTGTTTAATTTGTTACGAAGCTGGGTGGTGGTATGTTTTACTCGTACTGTCCTGAGCTTCCTGAATTTGGATGATCTCGCCTCGTTTTTTTTCACATCCTACTGCATTGTACACTCGGGCGTTGGCAGGTCTTCCAGGCGGACTCAGAGTTGTTGGCAGCTCTGGGGTGTGGGCGTCTCTCGCTGGCTGCGCCTTCCCACCTCTCCCAGGTTCGTGCAGCAAAATCCATGCGAACTTCTAGATCCGTTGACTGCAAACTTCTGCATGCACGGGCTCCTCTTAGTTTACCAGTAGGTTTATTTACCAATTAAAGCAAACTCAATTGAATGTTGCTATGCAGGGACTCACACTGTTTAACTAAATGGATATTAAAACAGTGTTAGTTAAATCAGGGGAAGTGTTATGTTTGGAGAAGGTCTTATTTCCTTGCATAGAGTTTGTATAGTTAGACTGTCATCTCTTTGAGACAGAAGCTACATCTTTTTTTACTGTTGTGCCAAGCACCTGCAGGGCTCTAGAAATAATTAAGCCCAAAGACTTCCGTTAATACTACATTGAGTTTTGCATTGCCTAAATATTTGTGATTTTCTTTCTTTGGTTGTTCAACGTTATGCTTTCCATGGATTTATTAAGTTACCTGCATTGTGCATCCTTTGTTTTTTTAGGCATCTCTTTTGCAACTTAACCTGTAATCTTTTAAGTCGGTTTATTTAAATACATAAGATGAGAAAGCAGGAATAGAAAGTTTTAGAGATGCAATATGGTCCAGTTGACTTTTGGGAAAACTTTTATGGTTGCATTTTCTGCCTTTTCATTACATTCATTCTCTGCATATTGTGTGTTACTTTTTGGTTCAAATACTTAGAGCTAAAAGAGAAACAAACCAAAACCCCCCACCCTCTGAAGAAGTGTAAATGTACATACCGTGATAAATATATTTGCTTTAATTTCTAATCAGCTCCTGACATGGTGAGGGGAAGCTGTTGTGGGATGAGACACCAGGCAGCAGCAAGGGGGGGAAAATCATACTGTGCATTTATGCCATACTCCAGCATGACCTAGTGCAAGCTTGCAATGGCTCACAGCAGCGTATAGGGTATGGGTGAGAGTTAAATTTGAATTGAACTTCCCCTGTTTTTTGAATGGCTCCTTTGTGTTGCAGAGGTAAGCAAAGCTTCCCATGTTTGGTCTCATGCAAGAAAAGCAGAATGCAATGGCATACCAACTGCCAATAAAAATACTTGACACAAAAATGCACTATTTGGAGAAGAAGTGTGCGACGCCTGCAGAAATTCCCTGGTTCTCGATTGCATCCTCCGTAGAGAATTTGCTTCAGTCCTAAGAATATTGTAGTGGAAGAAATCTGGGCAAGGGAACAAGGGCTTTTTCAAACAAAGCAGCCTGTCCTGTGTGGCTAGAAAAGACTTGCACTGTTTGGCTTGTTCAGATAACGTGTTGGGTTAGTTTGGACCGGTTCTGAATGGCAGGACTTGCACTTCCATTCAAACGAAAAATGTTGGCCCCACTGGTTGGGGAGATGCTCTTGCACGTACATCGGGGCAGCGCTGCAGAGTGAGCCTGCGACACGGCAGCCGGCGCATCTGCTCTTGCTCAAAGCTTCCCTATGCAGCAACTGCAGATCCCAGGCGACTGTCCCCAAACCTGTCCAGATTGGTGGTGGTCTGCTCTTTCCTGAGCAGCAATCAGAGGCACAATCTGAGGCTGGAGGGGGAGGATGAAACCAAAAACTAGAGGCCCCCCTCTTCCAATCGGCCAGCATGGTCTGGGGTGGAAGGACAGAGGGAGGGCTCGTTCTCATGTAACCTCCTTTTAGGTAGCCTTGAAGCAGTACGCAGGAATCTGCATGCCCCAAGGATAAAATAA